CTCTTTTGCACCATTTTGCAGTATATATCATATATATATACATATATACCTAGTCCTGCCATAAATACTGTTACAAGGTTTTTTTTATTATAACTCTTTTCATATAAAACATACGCTGTATTTGCTAACAGCATTTATTTTCTTGCATAATAACTAACATATTACAGAAACATTATTCAAAATTTCCACTCCTGGCCTTCACACATGATTTTAAACGATCAGACCACTCATCCATCGCAGTACGCACCACTTCCATTGGATATTGGCTACTGATTTTGCAAGGGCTCGCTTGAGACTTTCAATATTTTCATGTCTTCTGTGGTTGGTCATCAGCTCCAACTCTGCCCGCAGTTTGTTGTCCAGTGGCTTCCCAGATGGCCAATCGGAGGCCTTGATGAACTCGGGGACATTGCTTGCTAGCCATTCCTGCGTTGTCCTAACCTTGTTAGCAGGTTTGGAGTTTTGCTGGAAGATCCAGTTGCCCCCCTTGAACATTGTTTAGCTGAGAGGCTTCACTGACTTCTCTAAGACTTCTTCCTGGTACACTTTGGCTGATGTCTTCACTTCTTGCTTGCAAAAATGCAGCTTGGTGACACCCTCATAAAACACCCTCCCACCAAACCATGACAGAAGCAGTATGGTGACCTCTTTTCACCTTATGGATGACTTCTGCAGCTTCCCAAGAATCGTGGGCATACAATTGGCCATTTGGCCAGTTGAATTTTTCTTCAACAGTGAAGATTTTCTCATCAGTAAAGACGATTTTATGGTGTCTGTTTTGCGCGTACCTCTGCAGGAAAACTTTCGATCGCGACCTCCTTATTTCTTTCAGAGATGGAGTCAGCATGTGTCCTGTGCTTCTTCGGTAAGCACACATCCTTAGGTCTGATTTAATCAACCGATACGTGCTTCTAGTCGAGATGGCCATTTCCCTGGACATCACTTTCTGCTTGCATGGAGGATTTAGCTGAATCCTGTTGCTAACTTCTTTGATGACTCGTGGTGTTCTGGCAGTGGGTGGACGTTCAGATCTAGGGTGGTCTCGTACTCCCCAAGTATCATTGTAACGTTTGATAGCACAATAAACAAACTGCCGACTGATTCCAAGTGGCTGCAAAGTCTTGAAATGATTGCTGGTTTCTGACCCGCTTTGTGCAGGGCAATCATTGCTATGCGATTCTCTTTGTCACCCCACTCCATGTTTACTGCACGCAACACAACAGATAAAATGTTACCAAACAATACGGCAGATAATACACTGCACGATAACTAGGTTACAAATTTCTAGCTTCTTTCACTAGAATACAAGGAACATGTAAATCTTGTAACAGTATTTATGGCAGAACTAGGTATATATGGATTGAATTAAAGTAAAACAGTGATGCTTTCCCTAGTAAGAGCCACCCAAGGCAACAGGCAGGCTATGACCAGCTCCTAGCCCAGAAGAAGAGGACATATAACAAATAATCTAACTATGACAAAACAACCTGCAGATACGGGGCAAGGCTTAAGGAAGTTAGAAAGAGGCAGTCGATGATGCAGGCTGCCTGACAAATTTCTAGGATGGGATCCTTCGCTGTCCATTCTCTTTCAAACTTCCTTCAGCCTTGCCCCGTATCTGCAGGCTGTTTTGCCATAGTTAGATTATTTGTTATATGTCCTCTTCTTCTGGGCTAGGAGCCGGTCATAGCCTGCCTGTTCCCTTGGGTGGCTCTTACTAGGGAAGGCGTCACTGTTTTACTTTAATTCAATCCATATGCATGCCTCAAATGAAAGCAGTTTTCACTGCCCATTTGGGTATTTGCAAACCTTTTTACCTCTATGTTCCTTACTTATATGAATAAATAAATAAATACATATATATTAGTAAGTTTGTTTGCCCAAAGGGCAAACAAACTTGCTATAGTCACGCCTTCAGTGCTCCATTCTCAAATATAGTGATTCATTCATTAATTTATTTTCAAGGTGGCAAAAACGTATTGAAAGGATGTGCCTCTTGAAATGTGTATGGAGCAGTGTAGGAAAAATGTATATATTTCCCATGAACCTGAGGTGACAAATAGGATTTTCCCGGGAAGGGTATGCAAGCAGAGACTAAGCATGCCACCCGCCCGCTCGTCTCCATTCCTACGAACCTCGTTTGCAGGTTTGCAAGGGTTTTCCTAGCCTGGTATGTAGTGAGAACGAACCTCTACTTTTATTGAAATAATTACTCTGATCATTTCTTGTGTGCCTAACTTAAAGTCTCATCATAATCTGCCATGAGGGGTCATATTTGAAAAGTAGGATTTGCACTCAGCAATTGAACAGGTACTTCTGAGCCAAATTTCAAATTTCTTTAGTTCCCTCTTTCATTGGATCATAAAGGATTCCTGAAAATGCACCTTTTGCAAAATATGTGCCATCAGGGGTTTTACCTAAAGATTAATATTTTTTTTTTACTGAAATCAGTATTCAGAAAACCACATACATACCAAGTTTCAGCCTTATCCATTTGCTCTTTTTGCTGGTGCAAAAATATATTTGGAAAAGCTGATGCAGCCAAAAGTTGTGCCCTGAGGGTATGCACCTCAAAACTTGAGTTTTTCTGAACTCACTATCACCTCAGTTATTGGTGTGCCAATTTTCATCTTTCTATTCCTGCCCAATTCAGGACAAAAAAAAATAATTTGAAAAAATCTCCCCTTGAATTTTGTTCCCCCAGGGCATTTACTTCCAAAAACTGACTTTTTTTTAACCCTGTACCCAATACAGATTTATTTGTTAATTTTTGCCTCTCTATCTCCACTCAATTCAGTAGGACAAAAAAAAATGCTTTGAAAATGGCACCCCCCAGAAATATGCCCCCAGGACATGCATTTGGAATTTGATATTTTTCCTTAACTGAGTGTCTCAGTAGGCACATCCATGCCAAGTTTCAGCTTTCCATGTCTTTCCGTTTGACTGAAGCAAATATATATCATTGAAAACATATATATATATATGTTTTCAATGTATATATATATATATATATATAAGAGTAAGAGAAGTTATTTGGTGCCAAAATTGCTCAAAACTACCCAAGGGCAACAGAAAATGCCCAACCTTTGGACCCAACTGTGTACACATAATCATAAGATATTAAGCTACAATGTATGTAAATGACACTCCCCTTGCCTATCCCCTTCCTACTTGGGCCAAGAACTTTTCAGCCACCCCTAGTATTGCAACTCTAACAACTTCTGAGGGAATTTTAACATTTATATTTCTGTTTCATTGGATCGGAAAATAATTAATGAAAATGTGACTTAAAAAAGTGTAATTTTTTTTAACGAAAATTTTTTTATATTCTGAAATATAGACTCAAGGAAATCCATGCCACCCAGTTTCACCCTTATACGTTTCCCCTTATTTCTGGCGGTAAAAAAGTTATTTGGAAAAGCAACCCACCCAAAAGCTGTGCTCTGGGGAGACGCTCAGCAAAAGTTTAATTTTTCCTTAAATCAACATCACGTGCGTTATGTTATATAATAATAATGTTATATAATAATCCCGATTCGCTAGGATATTAAAAATTCTTTGAAAACGTTACGTCCCCAAGAAATACGCCCCCCAAAAATATTTTTGACATTTGATATTTGGCATTTAGCTGAGTGCTTCACCAGTCATGTTCTTGCCATGTTACAGCTTTCCATTGGTCTCCGTTTGATTGAAGCAAAGAGAACTATTTGAAAAGATATACCCCGAAAAGGTGTGGCCCTATGGCGTGTATCACCAAAGTGCAATTTTTCCTGAACTCAATATGTGAATAGCTACTTATGTCAGTCTGCTATGCACGATCATTTATATATAATATGAAAGGAGAATTGTTTCGTTAATCAGCTTTTCATCAGGTACTTATTTGCCAAGTTTACATTTTCTAGCACCATCCGTTTTGCTGGATCAGAAAATTCAGGAAATTTTGCAAAATATGTGCCCTCGGGCGCTTTAACCGAAAAGTACCATTTTTACCGAAATCAAACCTCAGTGAACTACATGCCCACAAAGTTTCAATCTTATACGTTTGTCCTTTTCGTGGGTACAAACCTCAGTGAACTACATGCCCACAAAGTTTCAATCTTAAACGTTTGCCCTTTTCGTGGGTGAAAAAATCATGTTTGGAAGCTGACTCACCCAAAAGCTATGCCCGGAGGGGATGCACCATAAAAGCTGAATACTCCCTCAACTCGATATTATCACGTCCCTTATACGTGTGCCAAGTTTCACCTTTCCATTTCTGTCCAATTCGCCACGATGATTTCTCTTTTTTTTAACATTGCCCCTCGAGAAATTTTCCCCCAGGGATGTATCAAGACTTAACATTTTTCTTTAACTCCTTATCTTGGTTGTCACATTCATACACAGTTCCAGCTTTCCAAGTCCATCAGTTTATCTAATGCAAAAACATTATGTGAAAACATCTGCCATTGAAATTCATTCCCCCAGGGCATTTCATTCCAAAGTCTGAATTTTTCTGCTTGCAGCATCCCGGTAGGTAATTATGTACCAAGTTTCATCTTTCCACATTAGCTCAATACACCAGGACAAAAAAAATACTTGAAAACGTCGGCCCCCAAAAATATGCCCCCAGGGCATGGATCTAACATTTTGCATATTTCCTGAACTCATCATGTCAGTAGGCACGTCCATGCCAAGTTTCAGCTTTCCATGCCTCTCCATTTTATTCAATCAATGGGACATGGAAGGCAAGAGAATCCCAAAAAAAGGCATGGAATGGCTGGGAATTGAACCCGGGCCTCATGATTACCAGTCAGATGTGCTACCACTGCACCACCGAAACAGTGACATGATGTGGCATCTCTCGATGACATCCTTATCCATCACGATATATATTTGAAAAAACTTTTCCCCCCAAAATGTGTACCCCCAGGGCATGTACCTCCAAAGTTGGATTTTTTCTGAACTCTGCACCTCAAAAGGTACATGTGTACCAAGTTTCAGATTTCTAACCTTTCTGGAACATGGTTAGAATTAGCATCAGTCAGTCAGTCACGATTGTCTATATATATTAGATACATATATATATATATATTTTTTTTTTCTTTTTTTCTTTCCACATTCAGGTCTAGCAGGGCATCCAGCCACAACACAGGATCTCTACAATCAATTCTCATCAGCTGTTCAAGAGCATCGCACTCATGAAGGCTATCTCTATAAAAGAGGTGCACTGTTGAAGGGTTGGAAGCAGCGCTGGTTTGTTCTTGATTCCATCAAGCATCAGCTTCGATATTATGATCACAAGGATGATACTCATTGCAAGGGATTTATTGGTGAGGCAGAGATGCTTATACATATATATGTATACTTCATTATTAATTTTTTAATGCAAAAGTTTTCAATTTATCAGGATTATTTACTTTCTTTCAGATTTAGCTGAGGTCATGAGTGTTGCACCTGGCTTACCTCCTCCTGTTCCGGGTGCTGCACCAAAGAAAGTTGATGACAAAGCATTTTTTGAGGTTAGAAGTTGTTAGAGTTGCAATACTAGGGGTGGCTGAAAAGTTCTTGGCCCAAGTAGGAAGGGGATAGGCAAGGGGAGTGTCATTTACATACATTGTAGCTTAATATCTTATGATTATGTGTACACAGTTTCATGACAATGCTCTCTGTGGTTCATTTTCAACAAGTCATTGTGAGTGCTCATGTGTAGCTATCAGTTGACATGGAGAAATTTGAGCACTGGGCTGTGATTCTATGCCTGTTTTTGAAGGGCTTAAGTGCAAAAGATATCCATGCAGATATGCAGCAGAAGTTAGGAAATGATGCACCAAGTTATTCAACTGTGAAAAAGTGGATAGCAAATTTCAAATGCAGAAGAGAGAGCTCAGAAGATGAACCCCACAGTGGACATCCTGTCTCAGCCACAACAGGGGGAAACATTAAAGCTGTGCACGATATCATCATGGGCAAAAAAAAAGATGTTGTGCGATGACCTGTGCAGTTATCCGATGATTGCCCATGATGGTATTGTGCACAGCTTTAATGTTTTCCCTTGTTGTGGCTGAGACAGGATGTCCGCTGTGGGGTTCATCTTCTGAGCACTCTCTTCTGCATTTGAAATTTGCTACCCACTTCTTCACAGTTGAATAACTTGGTGCATCGTTTCCTAACTTCTGCTGCATATCTGCATGGATGTCTTTTGCACTTAAGCCCTTCAGAAACAGGTATCGAATCATGTCCTGGTGCTCACATTTCTCCATGTCAACTGACAGCTATGCACGAGCACTCGCAATGATTATTAAAAATGACTTGTTGAGAGTTTTGTCATGAAACTACAAACATAATCACAAGATGTTAAGCTACCACCTATATAAAGGACACTCCCCTTGCCTATCCCCTTCCTACTTAGGCTGAAAACTTTTCAGCCACCCCTCATATATATGTAATATACAGGGTGTTCATATTTAAATGTAACCTAAGAAATACTTTTCCACTTGAATGTAGAGTTAGCTAATGTTACAAGGCCCACCATGTTGCATATCTGCAAGGAAACACGTAATTACACATCAGTGATTGTTTTCATCCTTAAAGATATGCAACTCTCTCTCGGCTTTATGGCATTCATTGAGCTCCACAAACAAGCAGTAAAATTTTCCCTGTGTTGCATTTAAATACAAACACCCTATGTAGTCTGTACATGAATTGAATGCAAGTGAGGGAGAAGGGAAAGATATGATGGTTACACTGAATTTCCAAATGGGTGAACAATCATATACTAAACTATATAGATATAAGCCATACTAGATATACCAAACCAACTTTATTCTGACCACATGTGCTGGAGAGGGAGAACCTTCTTCATGGATGTGATGAGCAGGAGTGAGCATTCCTCCTATAGGAATTCATGTCCAGACATAGAAGGAGGGAAAGGAGAACCATGAAGAAACTTGACTTGAGGTCCATGAATAGTTAAATCTCTGCCCTCCTCCCAACAAAGAGGTATTGGTATTGATTTCAATACAATAGCAAGTTTCTAGAAGTAATTAAATGATGGAGATGAGATTAACAGGAATATGTTGATTTAATTGCATTTTACATACATGGCCAAGAACACTCCAGGTACAAACTCCTGGATTGATGCTTGATATGACTTTTGCAGACTTCCAAAAATCTTACATCAGCATCCTGAAGCTCTCAATAAAAACCAACAGATGATGCTCATTGCATTGGTTTCTTGCTCCACTTAGTTTCCTGGTAAAGACTGATGCTCGATTTATGTATTGGGGCCAACACAGTGCACTCTCCTGGAACCTGGGCCACAGGTGTTCAGGGAGTTGAGGTCCAGCCAGTTCTTTGGTAGCTTCTAGACCTGTACCATGGTCTCTTTGATAGTGTGGAACACAAAGTCATTTGTGTGGCATGGGACTCCATCCTTCATCAGCTCAACCTTTTCCTTGGTCTAAGCAGATAGCCCAGATCTTCTTGTAGCTTGTGTAGATAAGCATGATGTTTTCACAGTAGCTAGCATACATTTCCCCACATTTTGTGTGGGTGGGTAAGATCAGAACACCCTGTATGGGGCCCCAAAGATTGATCCCCTACCCTGATACCCCTCCCATGTTATCAAAAATTCCTACTGCCATACAGCCCCTATTTAAGCCCCATTGAATTGACCACCATTCAAATCAGAGGTGAAGTGACAGCTGGGTTCTGTATCACCTCCCATTGCTAGTAGCCATAATGCTGCTGTACAAAGGTGTGTCTTTGGCCCAATATTGCAGAAAAATTCTTGAACAAAGTGTGCATGATGCAATTTGCATGAACAGGGCATTGGCTACAGAAGTAATATCTGAATGAAGTTGTTCATTCTAAGCTGAGGTTTGGAGAATTTTTCTTTACTGTTTAGTTTCTTCATGCTTTGTTCTGGTCTCGACATTAGTTCCTTGAGGGGATATGCTCACCCTCTGTTCACATTCATGAAGGAGGTTCTCCCTTTCTAGCTCACAGGGTCAGAATCAAGTTTATTTGGTGTATTTTACTTCCTTTTCCTCATTGTCTCCCTTTGTGACCTTAATACTTTCCAGTATATCATATTTTTATGGCCATTGATACTCAAAAGGTTTTCTAGGTCTAATGTGGTAATAAGAAAGTCAAATGTGACAAGGAAATTAAAATGCATCACTGTACTGCTTGGGAGCATCAAAAGCAACATAAGGAAAGTCAAATATGTCGCTGCAGCGGATGTATGATTTTAGGGAAAAGCACATTTGACATTAGGAAAGTCTAATGCAACAGATACACAAGGCATACCATACCTATGTTAAGGTGAATGCTGCCTTCTCATTGCATTTTCACAACATGAAACTTCAGTTGCTAATACATATGATGCTCCTTTTGCAATTAATCTTATTTTGCAATAACTGATCTGTCTGGGTTAGTCATAGGAATATTCTACCACCAACCATTTTGGGGTAGGAAGCGAGATTTCACATGAAAAAACGGAAAGGGGCTCTCCCTAACCTCAACTGGTATTCTTGTTGTTTTTTTTTATTATTGTCCTTTGGGGTCAATTTGACCCCAGCAGTAAAAATTGCAATAAAATGAAGTTTTTATTAGATGAATAGTAATTTATCATGACAGTTTCCAGGCTACCTTCTCTGTAGTGAAGCAGCATGGTGATAGCATATTGCTAGTACTAACCCTAATTTATTGATACTTGCCAAGTAATATTATTTGCAATAGGAGCAACATATGCAAATGTACCTGAAGCCACACGTTGTGAAAATGCAACAAGAAGGCATCCCCCTATCGTGGGTGTCTTCCTCTTTCCTCAGCAAGGAAACACCAGTGAAATACACGCACCAAATGTATTTGAGATTTTACACCACTGCAACAGATCCATGTGAAAAACAGAGGCTTCTAGGTGAAGGACAAAAAAAAAAGGGTGGAGGCAGCACTGTTGCTTGTCTTTTACATCCACGCAGATAGGCGCACGCACGGCAGGCAGCAGCAAAGTGGCGGTGCCGCACAGTGGCCCCCCCTAAAGACGCTGGAGGCCCATTAATATCGATAATCCAAAGTTCATGTGTGTGTGTCTAATGTGGGTGAGCAATAGGTAGCAGTTCAATGTTCATGAGTGTGTGTGAAGATCGAACGTCACTCTTCTATTGTCTGAGTTTACAGAAGCAGTATTGTGTGTGTGCATGTCCTCCACACCCCAGGCAGGCTTGACACGTTCCATAGCTACAATCTCTGAAGCCCCCTTTACACTAATTACCTATGTGTTATTATCAAAGTTACGGCTGAAAACTTTGAAAGGTCCATGGGGCCGTAACTAGAAAATTATTATTTATTATGACGCTATTATGCTGTTATTAGGAGGTTAGAGGATATTTATTAGCGTAACTGGAATGCATAATATTGGACTCATAGCGTCCGGTTAGCTGAGGATATAATATCACCATAATAGGCCATTTAAACAGCCCTTTAAAATTTGTCGTGGCTGTTCCTAATTATTTTGTCTGAGAAAAATACTTAATCTCGACAGAATTTGACAACTTTATTGAAAGCGTCTCAGAACACTGTCTCGAAAAGCCTTTGCATTATATGATGCAGGTGCATCTGAGCTTCCTAAGTCAGCATCATCAGCGACGGTAGCATCTTCCGGCTCAATGTCAGGGTCTGGAACTCCGGCCCTTCTGCACATGTTGTGGAGTATCGCACAAGCTACAATTATTTTGCAGCACTTTTCAGGTGCCACTTGCAACGATCCGCATGACTTGAGCAGACACCTGAATCTCGACTTCCAAACCCCAAAACAACGTTCAATGATGCATCTTGTCTGCTTGAGAGCTTTGTTGTACTTTCTCTCGGAAGAAGAGGGAGAATCCTTCATTATGGGGGTCAGCAAGCACATTTGAAAAGCATAGCCACTGTCACCAAGCAAATATCCGTTCCCAAAATCCCCATTCTCAAATCGTACTTTCAGGTCACATGTATTCCAGATGAAGCTGTCATGTGTGCTTCCTGGCCATTTGGCAACAATGTTAGTGAAGATAAGATCAGAGTTGCAGATGCTTTGAACATTGATTGAATGAAAGAATTTTCTGTTCACATAAACTTCCTCATCAGCAGAGGGAGCCTTGATGGAAATTTGACTTCCATCAATTACACCAAGGACATTTGGGAACTGTGCGATGGCGAAGAATCCTTGCTTCATGGCATTCAGTTCCCTGGGTTCTTCGGGAAAATAAATGAAATCATTCGCTCTTTGGCACAGAACTTCTGATACATCCTTGATGGCTCTAGAAACAGTCATCCTTGTCACACCAACGGGGTCGCCAGCTTCACGGAATAAATCTCCTGTTGCATAATATCTCAGAGCAATGAGGACTTGAAGGCTGACGGAAAGAGATCGCGTTCTACGAGTGGGTCTTCGTAGCTCGTCCAGCAATTGATACAGGCGCAGGATTTCACTTCGAGGCAATCGATATCTGTCTATCAATTCCTTGTTGTCATATATTTCGAGTGGGTTTGTTCTATCTCGGAACACACGCGGCACTTTTTCTTTTTTCGATCTTTGAAGAAGGCAATACACGATTCCAGCTGCCATTGAATCACTGAAGGGACCACCTTCATCTATCCTAAAAAGGATCCAAGATAGACTTCCTAAGAGCCCCATGCATTTCCGTTTCTCACGGGCAACAAGGAGCCATGCCTGTCTGCTTCCTGAGCTTTCCTCTACATCCTCCCTTCCGATTTCAGTCAGTCTCCTTCGTTACATCAGTCATATTCAGTTGTCCAAGGTGTGGTTTCGACTTTCACGATGTCAGAAGATGTGTCTACCATCAATAGAAGGAAGAGGAAGGCGAATTTCAGTGAAGCGAATTTTCAGCGAATTTCACTGCATATTTTGACGGAAGAAGTGGGAAAATATAAGGAAGTGCTGTTTTCCAAGTTCTCGAATTCCGTCACGAATGAGAAGAAAAAACGGCTCTGGGATGAAATAACGGTTAAAGTAAATTCAGTTTCACCTGCTGAGAGAACCATGNGAGTACTCCTCGAACCGCTTGGAGAGTGATGGAAGCCGTAGCTGCGGGCTTACTTTCCCTCGACAAGGGCGACGGCGGATGAAGAGGGGGTCGTCTGGCCTTCGGGCGCTGGTCTCTAGCATTGATGTGCCTGTCACAATTGACTTTCCTCAAGTCGAACATGCTTTTCTTCCAACATCCACCACAGCAACATTTTTGCTTTTTGTCACCTTTGACTTCTTTTTTTTTACATTTGACCTAGAATACATATACTTCACCCCTGTTGCATTCCAATGTTATTATGACATCTACATGATAAGCCCTCCCTTTCCATAAAAAAGCTTCTCTCTTTCTCTCCCTGTATGTTTTCTTGCTGCTATGGCTCCATCTTTTCCCATAATTCTTATTTTGAACCATAATTATGCTGAATTGCAATTAGATGGAAAGCTGTCCTAACACCAAGAGTCATCATCAAGGAATGTCATGATGTGCAATCAAGGGGTAAAATGGAACATACCAACTTTAGTAGGCATTGGGAGTTCAATTTTGATTTATATATTAATACCTGGTGATCCTAAGATATGCATCCTGTTTGAGCTTTATAAAACCTGCTATGGATGATCTAGGTTTATGATGTTTTATTTATCACATTGAAAAAAATATGTAAAAAATGTTTCAGAAAGTTTCATATATTCCCAGGTTGTCTAAATAAAAATTGGCAGTTGTTGAAGTGGAGTCTTGAATGTACATTTTCCATGCATGAGGAGGATTGAGTTTCAGGACTGCTCAAATGATTTCTCTCCCTTGACACCATAAATGCTGCTTATTATGCCAGTTCTCATCATAGTATTCTGTGTAGTATCAATTCTGATGCTATGATGTACGACAGTAGTACTATTCCACAATGTATTGAATATTACTGCAAGGACATGGTGTAAAAAGCAGTCTTTATGGGCATCAAGAGAGAAATCATTCAAGCAGTGCTGAAACTCCCATCTCCTTATCACCATGCCATCATAACCTCATATGCTGAAAAGGTAAATTTATGATTCCACTTTGAATGACTGTCAATTTTTATTCGGACAACCTATGTAGGTACATGAAACTTTCAAAGAACAAATATTGTGGTGTTTCCAATGTGATGCAAAAACATCATGAACCTAGATCATCCACAACAGGTTTTATAAGGTATCAAACAGGACACATTTTTTGTGGGCTATCTGGTATTTTGCAGGAAAGGAACATTAAAGGGAGCATAAAAGTAGTGTTTCCTTTTAAATCTGCTTTGTCTTTCTTCCAGCTCCGCACGATGAGACGCATGTACAACTTCTGTGCAAATGATGCCACTGCTGCTCAAGAATGGATTGAGAAGATACAAAGCTCTCTTCAGTGAAGTTCACTTAGCCAGTCTTTTCCTTTGTATCATCCCAGACTTTTTGTCCTTTTTGCGAAGATTCTTAAATCTCAATGAAAGAGCACAAGGATGGTATGCAGTACATGACATGAAGAAAATATAGCTGTTTGAGTATTAAGATTTAGTTCATTTGAGCCCTAGTCATCTAGTCAGTTTTATTAATTGGTCTCTAGAATGTCTGTTGTATGATCCTCTGTATTTGATAACTTTTGAAAGAGTCTGGGATTTTTAATTGGGCTGCCAGTTTGGTTATATTAATTGATCAAATAGGTCAAAAAAAGTTCAAATTTTAGTTGATACTTGAAAAATAAATCATAATATTAGTGAAATACATAGCTCCCATGTTTCCCCTGTGATGAACCTTACTGATGTTGGTAATGCATCTGTCATATGTTGTAACGTACCTGTAAGGTGCAGGAACACTGAAAATGAGATTGAGCTGGGTTGGGTTGGGTGATGTGGCAATATCTGTGAACCATGATAGTGTATGGAGAAACTGTGTGCCAGAATTAATGAGGGAATTATGGTTAGCTTAAAATTTTATCACTGTATGTACAGTGAACCCTTGATACACTGCTACTTGGTATACTGCCACCCTCACCACAAACTCTTTCCTGAGAACACATACCATAAGCTTACTCTAAGTAATGCCCTTTTGTAGTGCCACCCTCGCAAGCCACCATCTGCCAACTCCATCATTTGTACGAGCATGCTTTTTTGCACATCCAATTCCTAACACAGCTAAGTGCATGTTGCCACCATGAGCCATGAAGTGAACTCAGCCATGAAGTGAATAGTGCATTGGACAATTGTAGAATATCAGAGGAGACTAAGGATGGTGATGTAAGCTTCATGTCTATGTAGTAACTTTGTCCTTCAGAGATTTCAGTATCATAGCCTCTTGCATACTGCAGTTTATTTGATGTGGCACCACCTGCATTAAGGTGCCAAAATCAGCAATGGCCAACAGTAGTGTCATATCAAGGGTTCACTGTATTAAACACTGAAGCAGTCCACAGTAAACCATATCACCTTTTTTTTTATAGCAATCCCAATTTTAAAGTTATTAGTTACTGTTTAGTGAGTTAAAAATTGAAGTAGGTATGAGACTAAACCAAGGAGGCTTATTACAGACATTGTGCTCATAGAGTGAGAGTGTATAGAGAAGGGCTGGCCCTACTCTAATTTTTTTTTCTAAATCACCTCTCTTCTGGCTGTTTCAATTGCTGTCTTCTCTGTACAAAAAGAAACATAAAAAATAGGAAGTTTATTTCAAAGTTGTGAGATTTCAGTGACTGCAAAGCATATCAGTTAAACTGGTTTTTTGTTCTCTGTTGTTCATCATGATCTCATCCTCCCTTATCACATAATACCAAAGCGGTAATAGCCTATAGAATATATCGATCTCATATGAAGCTGAGTAATCCATATAAGGGTGAATGGAATCATGGAATCATGGTATCAGGAGGATTCTCTTATATTGGGCTGAAATGAATGAAGGCTTCAGCCCTCATTCCAAGGAGGATAAAATTCAAACTTGAAGTTGTGAGGTTCTGTGGGTCTTTGAAAGTGTCCTTTAAAATAAGCAATATGATGAATGGAATCATGTGACTACAGTATGATGTCCTGCAGCTTGCTAGAGTTTTCTTTCTAAAGGGATTAATAGTTAATTACATATTGCAAAAGGTTATAAGGATTTCTTCACACTTTTGTAATGCTCACATTGTCAAGGTATTAAAAGTATGGATTTATGAAGATATACATGTGTGGGACATTCAGACTAATTCATTTTAGAGAGAGACATGAGTCTTTTGAAATTTGGTGTCAGTGGAGCTGATGCAATCTTTCATGATCCTTGATAGAGTCTTCGAACATATCTCACTGCACCAGGGATTTCTTTGCTTTCCATTAGAAAAGCCTCTTCATTTTGGCTCACTTTGTGTTAATGTACATTTTGAGACACCTTAGCTAGGTGCAGCATTATGAAGCCGTCAACAACTTTGGGTTTTGATTGAGTTTCCTGGAGGCTACTTGAATGGGAGGCCTCCATCATCCATGACTTGTGAGATATAAAGACCGATATTCTTTCATGAATCTTTCTTGATACTAAGTTATTGCTTTTTTAAGCTCTGTCTTCCTGGTCTCTGCTTCACTTTGGATTCAGGGATTGACTGCACTAAATCCTGATGGTAGTAATTTCCCATATTTGTTCCTTCTCTGATCATGAAATTAATATTACCCATTAAAAATTAAGTGGTAAAATCTGAGCTTTCACCATTCTTAATGTAGTCCCACTTTCTTATATTTCCCTCTAAGGATAATCATTCAAGGCTCTGCAATGTGGCTGAATATATTGTTAGCGAATTGATTTCCAGGTTTTCTGCTTTTGCTTTGTTCACTGTTTTCATTCATCTACTGGGAGGCTTCCATGCAACAAGATTCTTCAAAGAGTTTCCAATTGTCCCAAGTGACCTTATTTCTACTACTGCTCATGAATATGGAATACTAGTGCCATTGAGGTTTGCTCATGCAGATATCCATTAGCTCTTATCTGCATCTCTTTTTTTCTCTGGTTCCATGTTGACCTGTGAAATGGAGTCTGATTTTAGCATCCATCTTTTTTGTACCTGTTAGATTCCAAATAAAGCAATGCAGGGAAGACGTTGGTGTGGTAATTTCATGCTGATTTAGATTAGGGCTGCAGGTTGAGCAGTGGGCCAGGTTGCTGGAAAAAGAAGAAACAGAATGCTAATCATGTACGAGGGGAGGTCAAAAAGTTTTGAGACCCAAGCAGTTCCAGTTGCAATACACCATTCTTACTGTTGTCATGGGAAGACAGATGTCTTTGATGGTGACTGGCGAAATTTCATCTTATTTGTCGATTAAGGATAGCTACTATTAATTTTTTTCAATATGCTACTAATGAGTCTGGTGAAGGGGTATTAAAATTGAGACGAATGCTGTGAGGAATTTTCTAACCTTTGATGAGCCGACCTACCAGCAGATCTTTTAGAGGAGGGTCAATAAGACTCTATACTCTCAGTCCCTGAGAGTCCCAGTCTTCCCATGATAAAAGTAAGAATGGTGTATTGCAACTGGAAGTGCCTTGGTCTCAGAACTTTTTGACCTCCCCTCATACCTTTAGATCTTGGCAAGTATGAAACTTTTCGCATTTTGAGAAGTTTTGCAGAAAAAATTAAGTAGAGGATTTTGTTTCGAGTTTGCAGTTTGTTGGTTTTCCCTGTGCTCATTTGATGCCATCCAGTGCAGTGCATTCTCTCTCACACAGAAGAAACTGAGGATCCAAACATTATAGAGCATCGTTTTGTCAACAATGGTTGCCAGATATTGTCCTTTTCAGGAAAAGACAATGCATAGTGCATAATGTGTGAGGGGAGTTGGGAGGTAATCCAAGGAGAATGGAATTGAAGGCGATGAAAAGGACAAAGGCGATGGGTACGGGGAAAGCAGAGCTTGACACCTTCAAATCATGGTCAGCTAAGGCTAACACACTAGGCTGGGACTTTGAGCGAGAAAGACCACCTCCATTTCTCATTTTGCCTCAATTGCATCTGAGATAATGCTTTCAGCTCAGCTGATATCCAAGTTGGAAGATAATACCCAGGGAAGGCTAACTGGACAAGCCATCTCAGGGTGCAACATTGTACTCGAAAGCATTGCAGTTCAGTAGCAAGGATTGAAGCTTAGCCCGAGCCCAGAAGATGACATTTACATTTAGTTTTTTTTGGTCCAAATGCCAATGTCCTTTTTTTTTCAAAACTATGAGGATGATTCCCTCTGCGAACTTTTTCCCATTGATTTCATGATAAGCAAAACTTGAAGTAATTAAAAAATATATATTTTGTAATGTTTCTCAGAGCCTAATGCACTGATAAGGGACAGAATGCAAATGATACAGTTGTTATTGGCAGTACTGCCTAGGGCATGGCAAAAAAAGAGAGACAAGTTTCCATAAGCTTTTGTCCTAATAATAGAGGGGAGACTGTAGTAAAGTGGACTAACTTATCTATTAACTTAGTTTGTCTATAAATGCTTTAGTATTGCCCAAACTGAGTAAATAGACAAGGTATTTACTTTCCCCCAAAGTTGAAGAAGTGGCATAGGCAATCACTAAAAATAACAACAGGGAACATGCATGATTATTTCATAAGATATTCAACAAAAGCTGCCACTACATGAAGTAGTAGGTGCTTGGTGTCATAACTGCTGGAGACTGGTATAGTTTTGGGCATGAAGGTAATTGGACAACCCATTACCAGTACCACATCAGACATCACATGAGTTGAACAGTCATCATTTGTGGACCGAATTTTTTTATCTTGGTAAATACCACCCTTACAGGTCTCACCCAATTCATGGACTCAACGAATATGATACTGTTTGTCATGATCTATCGCCTTTTTAGATCGCCCTTTATATTTTCTGATGTGCACCAAATTTGAAGAAACAAATCTTGAACAACTGATCATATCAGGGCCAAAGTTTTCCAGGTCTCTTTCAAAGAAAGGAGCTACGAGAGAACATTATTGCTTAGATTGAACTGAAACTGTAGGGTAAAAAAAAAAATTCATGATTACCCACACAGCACAGGTATATCCTTGGACCTTGGACATTTAGTTCATCATCAGAGTTGGCTCCAGAATCCTGAGAATTTCGTATGCCACTTCCCACCCAGGATATTCTTCGAGATTCCTTGTCCATCCCTCCCCAGCCTCCGTGATCCAATTCTGAGTTGAAC